ATATCACTTTAAGACAGGAATGTCAAACCTTTTGAATACTACTGTATTATACTAAATTTATTTTAATTTTTCGAGTGCCATGGATTTGCCATCCCTGTTTTATAAGATTATTACTTAGCATCACGGTTTAAGATATCTTAAACCGTGCTTAGCATACTTTAACCGTTATATATCTATATGTATAAAAATATATTGCTAACATAATCGAAGGAAACAAATTTAATACACAGTTTGAGACATATATAAGAGCTAGGATTTTTAATGGGCTACAAAGGGCACATTTCAGCTAGTAAATTCATATTTAAAAAWTKTTTGGGTAACAAAAGTATTGTATTGATTTCTGATTATTTTTTAATAGGTGATAAGAATTATAAAAGAATAAAACTTATAAGTAGCCACAAATGTAAATAATCATATCAGGGACTGAGACCGGACCGAAAAAAACCGGTTACACAACCTAAAACCTTGTATAAATTAAAGAACCGAAAATAACCGTAACCTTTATTTTAAATTTTTAAAAGACCCTAACAAAAACCAAAACCCTTATACTAAACCGAAAAATACCGGTTTTTAAGGGTTTTTTTTATCGGTTTTCAATTATCTAGTGARRTAGAAATAGATTAGATCGGACATAGTTAAGGTTTTACAAGCAAGAATTATATTTTATACTTTTATAGTTTTATAATACACAGTAGGTACCTACGTACGTAATGCTATTTTTGGACGCCGGCCGCGTCGCCCGTATATCCGTGACAGTGACGGCCGACGTGCGACGATGGTCAATGTTAACATCGATAACGGATAATTTCTACAAACACAAGTTATTTTTACTATTGCAGTAATGAGTAATGACACTGGGTTTATGTTTAATACAATATTATTACACACTTCACACCACACGTATCATATTATATTTATTATTATTTTTCTCGCCATTCAGTCGGTAACGCAGTTGCACACCACATACAGCAGTCTATCTGTGAGTTGTGACAAGTTTATATTAAATATTAATTATGGGCCGTCATATATTGTCAACAGTTTACGAATATTTTAATTATGACAAACAAACACAAGAATCAATTTGTAATGATTGCAATGGTAAAATAAAAGTAAGTACCTGCTTACACATTTTAGGTTTGTTTAATTTAAGTTTAAAATCATAAACAACAAAATAAAAATAAAATATGTACCAAGGCAATATTCAAATTTCATGAAGACAGACTATACGACATTATCTACATAATTTATATATAGTTAATTATAGTTTTTACCTATATCACCTATAAGAAAAATCTTAAATAATTTATCTAAATACTTACTATGTTATTAACCATAATAT